CTCTCCCAAATATTTTTTCCACCCTTCTTCCCCTGGCCATACTGATCCTATTTAGGTCCCTGTGGAGATGTTAAATAGGATAAGGGTTTCAAGGTCTGGGTTGGTTCTTATTAAATGCTATTCTTGCTAAATATTAAAATGTAGTACAGTATTTTGTACCCGCAGCTATAACTTGATGATCTTGAAGGGAATCCAACAGGAAAGGTTTAGCCAACTGCAAAGAAGAAATCAACATGTGATTAACCAAATAGCATTTATGAGCATTGGCTAAGACTCCCTTGGAGAGACAGAGCTTTGGATGTGAATCTCCTGTTTTCTTTGCTTGCAAATAAATAAAACTAATTAATGACAACCATGTCTGGTTCTTGAGTAGAACACCCCAAGTGGAGAACCCCTTGAATTCGGTAACAGAAACATCACTATTCTAGAAAGTATTCCCTGATTCCAAGTCTGGTTTATTTGCCTATTGCAGGTCTTTTCAGACTGCAGTTGGCTTGCTGTCTATTTCTCTTTCTTCTCCTCATGAACCATAATCTGCTTGAAGGCAGGGACTCTGGCATTGAGGTCACTTCATTGCTCTCAGGGACTAGCATGGAGCCTGTTACATCGTAGATGCTCAAGAAATATCAATTGCCTCCATGCATAAATTAAAGAATTGAACATGTGGAAATAAATGAAAACCAACCAAAGGAAAAAAGCAAGGGCTATCTGTTCAGAGTAAACCAAGGGAGTGAGCCATCATCATTTGCTTTTTGGCAGGCAGAGGAGTGGAAAAGCTGTGTATGGAAAGAAGAGAAGGCGTCAGGTATGCCCTGATGAAAGCTGTCAGCATGAGGAAGCTGTAGGCTGGCTGACTGGAAGTTGAGTGTCACATGGGATTGGTTAGGGGTGCATAGTTAGCTTTCTCTGGTTGGTCCTAAGTTGGAAGTTAGTTATTAACTAAGTCCTATCCATTTGGGGTCAACTGTTACAGGGGTTATTGTTTGGCTTCCTGGCCTGGTGGCTAGAGATAGCTAACTGACTTTCTACAAGTCTGACTTATAGATAGCAGGCTGGTTTCCTGCGTTGATTACTGCAGATAATGGATTGGTTTCCTGGGCTACAGATTTTGGGTAAGAGTTTTATTTTTATATGTGGTCTGGCCATTGCCCATTTGTATATTCAGTCTCTTATATGAATATTTATTTGTTAGCATCTACTGTACACTATACTTTTTATTGTATTGTGTATGTATCGCCTCATTTACTTTTAACCGTAGCTCTGTGGGGTAGGTATTACCATTTCTGCTTAACCTTGATCACTTCCTCCTTCACAGCTCATGCTATTTACATTTCCTGTCTTCTACCTCTCCTTTATACCTTAGGTTGTATCCCCCCCCCCCCCCCCCCCGCTCACTCCCCACCCACCCAAATTTCTGACATTGTCTTCCAGCCCAATGTCGCCATCTTCATGGGTATGCCATTATCCTTACTCAGTTCTTTCCCACAACTCTAGGTTCCCAGTTCTGGACTTATTCATCTTCAGTGACCTTCACCTCCAAACCTCTGTAGTCACCCACACCCTAACCATCAAGCACGACAGTCATCATCACCAGGAAAGGCCTCATCTCTGATAGATAAACACTACCATCCATTCTGTGATTGAAATAGCATCCTACACCTTTAACCCTTCCAGGAAGTAATTAATTCTGGTTGAGGGCATAATGGAAGATTTCGAAATACTTTAAAATATTTTTGGTATTTTTGCCCTCACCTGTTAGGCTCAGCGGTTGGAGTGTCGGCCTGTGGACCAGAGAGTCCTGGGTTCGGTTCCCGCTAGGGGCATATATATAAAAAATATATATATATATATTTGGTATTTTCTAAAATGTCTAAAATGTATAACATAAAAAATACCTCCCAATCCTCTAAATATTATTTTTTAATCTTTAAAAATAAGTTTAATTTACCTGCCCACCCATCACTCTATCTCTCCTAGAGGGAACAGGGAAGGAAAGAATTTTATACAACATTATATAGTCACAGTCACAAAGCAATCAGAACCTATGATAATGAAGTTATTTTATTTAATTTATTTTTTTAGAGAGAGAGGACGGGAGAAGTAAGGAGAGATAGAAACATCAATGAGAGAGAACATTGATTGGCCACCTCCTCCATGCCCCCCCCAGGGGATTGGGCCCACAACCTGGGCATGTGCCCTGACTGGGAATTAAATTGGTGACCTCTTGGTGCATGGGTTGATGCTCAACCACTGAGCCACACCGGCTGGGTGATAATGAAGTTTTAAAATGAAGTTACTATCATTATTTTGGAAGGTCTCCAAAAATCATGACAAACGCCATTGACATAAATCATGTTTGCCATGTTCCAATATGTTGAGTTATATGGTTAATTTTATGTCTTAACTTGGCTAGGCCATGGTACCCTGTTGTTTGGTCAAACACCAGGCTAAATGTTGCTGTGAAGGTATTTTTAAAGATGTGATTAACATTTAAATCAGTAAACTTTGATTAAACAGATTACCTTCCATAATGTAGGTGGGCCTTATCCAATCAGTTGAAGACCTTAAAAGAAAAGACAGATGCCTTGAGGAAGAAGAAATTCGGCCTCCATACTGCCTTTAGACTCATGGTGGCAACATCAACTCTTCCCTGGGTCTCTGGCCTACTGACCTGCCCTGCAGACTTTGGATTTGCCAACACTTATAATCTCATGAGCGAAATCCTTACAATTTCTGTCTATTTACAGCCTATTGGTTCTGTTTCTCTGGAGAATCCTGACTAATACATTGTGCAGGGGCCACTGAGCAGGACAACAACTCCCTTGCACAACACATATGATGAACAGGACCTACCTCTGTAAATTAATTCCTCTTGCCTCCAGCCATTAGTCTTCTACACATCTAATTCTCCTTATTAAATCAAGTCCAGCATCTGATAATATTCATTTATGGTTGTTGACTAAGAGATTATGCTTTAGTAGGTGGTTTTCAGCCAGTGTGTGATGTCACTAGCATTTTAAGCTTCTTGTTTCCAAGCTGAAGAGGAAAAGAGTCTTAACATTACCCTTGAATAAAGAATGTTCCACTAATAGGTAAGAGATGTATTTATCATAAAGCATCCTGAAAGTAAATCTGTCTTAAGCCTTCAGGGTGGGGGCATGCCAGGTTATGTGGAATCTTAAGTTTATACAATTTGAAGTCCCTAGTTAGGGAATATCTTACTTTTACAATTTTCAGTAACATGTGATCACATGAATGTCTTGTGACGGGCCATCCCCAGGCTTTGGAGGGAAGATGTAAAGTGAAGGGCTAGAAAGCTTAAGTTTTATTAGCTTCAGGGTATATCTGGCTTTGCTTCTGGGCTTTTAAGGACGGGAATGGGAAGAAGGGTGCTGGCTTTCCCTTAGCTTGGTTTCTGCTTCGCTGGGGAGGAAAGCCGAGGCTGGCCTGGTTCCAACTGCTGAAGGAAGATACATTTATCTTCCTCTAGGTCCAGAGTGTCCTTCCCTCTAATCCCTGCCAGTGGGAGCTGCCAGATCTTGCCCCACTTCCATCCCTTCCCTTGCTCCCTTTCTCTGCCCCAACCCCTTGTCTCAGAACTCCCAGGCTCTTGCACACTGTTCCCTTAGGGAGTGTCCGGTGATGTTTCAGATAACAACGTGCAGCCCGTCTTGTTTTCCACTCTGCAAATACAAAGGCCTCTATATTTCCTGAAGCTTTTCCATCTCTGAGGACAGCATTTCTGACTACAGGGGAGGTGGTGTAATTGTAGCTGCCTCATGAGTGGGCTGTTTTCTCTATGGTCCTTTCTCCACATCTCTGGACAGTATCTCCTCCCTTCTTCCTGTCTCTTCAGACTTCCAAATGCTGGGTTTACCCATTTCACAGAAGCACGTTTATGCTTTTCAAAGCAGTGGCTTTCTAATTGTACCCAGAAATAAGTATTTTTATATAGTTTGCTTTCATGTCTTTCACGGAGTATACGGTTTACTGCCACCTCCTGTTCTCATTTGGAGAGAAGCTCAGTGACTGGGTGAGTTTCTGCAAATCCCAGGGCGCTGACATTCTCAGGGTCCCTCTCAGCTCTGAGTTCCTGCATCTTCAGAACCACTGGGCTCATCTGTACCCCACATCTCATGGCGGTTCCTTTCCTTCTGTTCCCACCAACTGAAATGGGACCTTTTCTTTGATCTTACCCTAGAATCACTCACACAAGACATTTCTGTATCATAAACTTTACTGAACAAGTTAAAACAATGGAGTTGTTTTATATCACAGCAAAAATCAAACACGTTAAAATTATGAAAATACAATTAGGTTTTCTCACACCCACTTTTGGGAATTTCTCTTTTGCCTCCTTTCTCCCCAGACACGAGCCTCTGCTAAATTGATTGCTACCCATTTCCCCTCATTCCTAGTCCCTCAGAAGGTAGAAGTAACCTTATTCAGGTTAGATTAAACAACAACAATCATACAAGTTCTTAATCCTGTTACACTTAGTGTGGCTGAAAAACAGAGAAAAAAGAAGAAAACAGAAGCCCTCACCATTACGCAAAAATGGGCACACTAAAGCACTTCAGCTGTAGACACACACACACACACACACACACACACACACACACACTAAGCCAGCCTTGCCCCAGATGGGCATAGCCCCTCATGAGTCCCCGGTGACATTCTATCTCCCTCTATTTCCTCATTTCATTTTCTTCTCTTGGATCTCAAAAGCTGTCAGAGAAAAGCACTTCTCCTTGTTCTCACCTCCTGTAAGTCCGTGGCCAGGAACCATCCTGAATAGTGAGACAGGAAAGAGACAGACCTGGAGAGAACAGTGATACATGCAAGTACTCCTAGGAGCTGGAGGAGTTATTTAGGAACAAGGAAGATGATTCCTGTGATTGAAAGCCACATTGTAGACCCCAGGGCATTTCCATGCTACACACAATGGGCATCCACAATATTTTCATTACAAACGGCCAGCACAAAGACAGGTTCTACACCTAGACAACCCCATCTTGCAGCTTGGCCCCTGCCCTGAATTTCTCCAGCTCTTCACTGCTGTAGCCTGTGGGGCATGGCTGGTACTTGACACCTGAGGCCTTTGTCCAGGAAGAGCAGCGATGATGCCATAGGCTACAGATGATATAGACAGAGGCCAGGATGACCGCCCCTAAGACCAGGTGCCAACAGAAGAAGATGGGGAGAAAGGCGAGGTCCTCATGGTTTTCTGATCGCCAGGGCTGCCCAGAGGGAGGGACGTACAACACCAGGCAGAGCTGCAGCATCCAGGTGCTGAACACCAGTCCCATCCAGGTCTTGAGCACCCAGAGTGGGGGCTGGTCAGGGACCCAGACCTCGATGGTGAGCACCAGACACACCAACAAGGTGGGCACTATGAACAGGATGTGCACGCGGACCTCCAGGGCGTTCTTGTGCTCACTGTGCACCAGCATCAGCAGCGCCAGTACAAAGAAGGCCAGGGCCTCTGCTGCGTGCTCCAGCTTTATACTCTGCCGTGCCTGGCATGACTGGCTCACAATGTCCACCACACCGCTGAGCAGGAAGAAACTGTAGATGGTGGCATGTGACCAGTTGTTCAGGAACAAGAACGGTCGCTGAGGGTCCTCCCACTTTACGATCCTCAGCCGGTTGTTGCCTGGTGGGTAGTAGAACTCGGCCATGATGCCAGCCAGGCTGATGACGATTTTCACCATCGCTTCCCTAGGTACCAGCTTCCACCACGTGTGTCCTCTCTTCTCTCTTGGGGGTAGAGGAATCTTGAGAAACCTTTGTTCCCGTAGCAGGGCCAAGGACACCTGCACTGAGTAGTAGAGTGAGAAGAAGAAGAAGCATATCCCTGGCAGCAGGTGTCCCTCCAGGGTTCCCATGGTCTCCGTGTATGCGGCGGGCCCAGCAGGGCGAGAGATGGAAGATGAGCAGCAACCTCACCGGGCTCTTCTCACAAGCAAGAGTGGCTGCTTCTGAGCAGTGGAGAGATCTTCTGATGCAGCCCCACCCCAGCCTCCCACGCTTGGAAAGGCGCACGTCCCCGTGCTGGGAGCATCTGAGTTCCTCCCAGGGCGGATCTCTTTCTGAGACGTGGCGCTTCACCTCACTCTGCTCACTTAGATGGGCGCGGCCTGAAATTGCCACCTCTGCGCCTCACTGCGGGCACTGGTTTACTCTTTCTCTCCCCGCCCTTCCGCCCCACCCCTCAACAAGAGAGGGGACGCCCAGCTCAGTGGATTGAGTGTGGTCCTGTGGACTGAGGTCCCAGTTGGATTCCCGGTCAGGGCACATGCCGGGGTTGTGGGCTTGATCCCCAGTAGGAGGTGTGCAGGATCCCCAATCCATGTTTCTCTCTCTCTTCCTTCCTCTCTTTCTAAAAAAATCAATAAAAACATATTAAAAAGTAAAATTGAAACATATTAAAAACAAACCAAAAACAAAGAGAGGGGAGGGAAAGAGTTAAGGTGTTCTAGCAAAGAAGGGTGGTGGCTGATTCTCCTCTATGACTGTTTGTAGGTTCCTGGCACATCGCATATGCATATATTTTTTCCATTTAAATTTCTCAACAACTGTATGAAAGACTTACTGTTAAGCACATTTTACAAGTGACATCAAGGCTCAGAGGGGTAAGGGTACCACAAAGCAACATACCTGGCAGCCAGTACAGCAGAGCCAGGAAGGGGTCCCAGGACTATTTCTTGGTTTACAAAGTTCAGAGTTTGTGCGAAGCAAAATGACTGAATCTCAGCTCCAACACTGGCAAATCTCATGATTATGGGCAAATTACTATTTCTTCTTGAGCCTCAGTTTTCTGATCTGCAGAATGGAAACAATAATTACTTCATAGGTCTGTTGTGAAGATCAAATAGACTAATGTATGCAAAGTCTGATACATAGTAAATACTTAATAAGTGGTAGTGATTATTAGTAATTTTACTATTGTTATTACTAACATTCCTTGTCAAATTCCTACGATGCTAAAGTTGTACAGTATTTCTATGAATGATACAGAAGCAGGAATCATAAAGAAAAAAAGTGAAGCCCTGGCCGGTTTGGCTCAGCGGTTAGAGCGTCGGCCTGCGGTCCGGAGAGACCCGGGTTCGGTTCCCGCTAAGGGCATGTACCTCGGTTGCAGTTTGTCCCCGGCCCTGGTTGGTCGTGCGGGTGGCAGCCACTCGATGTGTCCCTTTCACATCGATGTTTCTCTCTCTCTCTCTCTCTCTCTCTTTTCCTCTCTCCCTCCCACTCTGTGCAAAAAATGGAAAAATGTCCTCGGGTGAGGATTAAAAAAAAAAAAAAGAAAGAAAAAAAGTGAAAACTGAATTATATTTAAAAATTATAAAGTTTTTTTAACTAATAGAACTGAAACATCCCAATTATTTATTTATTTATTAAATCACTGTGAACAAATTTCAAAAGAAAAGCAAACTATGAAATTTTACTTCATATATAACAAAATGTTACTCTGCTTATAATATAAAGAGCTTTTACAAATCAAAAAGTTAAAAATGAATAGCTCATCTTGGCCGATGTGGCTCAGTGGTTGAGCATTGTCCCATGTACCAAGAGGTCACCGGTTTGATTCCCGGTCAGGGCACATGCCCAGGTTGCAGGCTGATCCTGGGGGGGGGGGGGGGGGGGGGCACACAGGAAGCAGCCAATCAATGTTTTCTCTCATCAATGTTTCTATCTCTCTCTCCCTCTCCCTTCCTCTCTCTCTAAAATCAATAAAAAAAAATGAACAGCTCAGTAGGAAAATGGGTAAAAGACATAAAGTGGCTATTCATCCAAGAAAAACACTAAGTGCTCAATGAAATTCAAGATAATGAATCTCACTGGTAAGCACATGAATAATAATAAAATCTTCATGATACCTATTATGAACTGAAAGTTCGTTTCCTTCCAATATTCATATGTTGATACTCTAACCCCCAATGTGATGGTATGTGGAGGTAGGCCTTTGGGACATGACTAGGTTTAGATGAAATCATGAGAGTAGGACCGTCATGATAGGATTGGTGCCCTTATAAAAAGAGAAAGAAAGATATTTCAGAAGAATGCAATTTCTATTGTTGTTGGGTAGAGTGTTCACATATGTTTGTTTAATGTAGTTGGTTTATTGTGTCATTCAGGTCCTATATTCCCTTACTTATCTCTGTCTGGTGGCTCTTTCTGGGTGCACACCCCAAGGAAAAGCCATGTGAGACACCGCAAGAAGGTGGCTGTCCACAAGCCAGGAAGAGGGCTCTCATCAGAACCCAACCACGTTGGCACCCTGATCTCAGACTTTCAAACTATAAAATACTTTCCAGTCTATGAATGTCTGTGCTCTAAACTAACCAGGCTATGGCATTTTGTTAGAGCAGACCAAGCTGACTAAGATAAAATTTTGGTACTGTGCGATGGGGGGCTGCTGTAAGAAATACCTAAAAATGTGGAAGCAGATTTGGAACTGGGTAATGGGTAGAGGCTGGGAGAGTTTTGAGATGCATACTGTAAAAACCAAGACTGCCATGAAGGGACAGAGGAAGGCTCAGAAAGAAGAGAGCTGTAAAGATTTGGTCTTCCTAAAGAATACATAAATAATCATGAGCAGAATGTAGGTAGAATTGACTCTAAAGGCTATTTTGGTGAGGTCTCACATGGGAATGAGGAACATAGTATTAGACAATGGAGAAAAGATCATTCTTTTTATGAAGTGGCAACAAACTTGGTTGAACTGTGTTCGTGTACTAGTGTTTTGTGGAAGGTAGAACTTGTGGGAGATGAAATTACATGTTTAGTTGAGAAGATTTCTATGCAAAGTGTTGAAGAACAGTTATTTTAAAATCTTTTTCTGGTAGGTCTGCCATCTTGTCTTTGTCAAGGGTGGTTTTTATTGATTTACTTTTTTCATTGAATGGACTATATTTTCCTGTTTTTTGGTATGCCTTGGGATTTTGTTGTTGTTGTTGAAAAAGAAAAATTTGAATCAAGTAATGCGTTATCTCTGGAATTTAGGTTCTTTGTTCCGCAAGGTTTGCTACTTTGTTTTTCGATTTTGATTTTGTGGGCTATTTCTGTGCTGGGGATCACCCTGAGGTATAAATGTAATGTCTTCTCAGAGCTCTCCTGTCTGCTCCTTTCCCTGGGCATGTGCAGTGACTTTCTAAATTCTCCTGCATGTGTGATTGCTTTTGAGTATCCTAGTCCTTAAATGTCTGGCTCCCAAAAGGTGAAAAAGAGAAAAATGAAAGGGAAAAATAAGGTGCTAGCTCTTTAAATCTCCTGAAAGTTCCTTCAGCCGGGGTGGGGAGGACAACAATGGAGGACAATAATGACTGCCCACCTCTATGCCTGCACCTCTGCAAACTGAAGCAGCAGTCAGAGGCTGGAGCACAGATCCCTGGTGTTTGGAGAACAGGATCCTTTTGTCCACTCTTGCTCCTGCCACCTGTGCGCAAGCTGCTCCTGCAATGAGTGTATGCCTGTCCGTCATGGGGTTGGGAGCTGGGGGACAGGGGTCTATTGCTGAGCGAAGAGTTGAAATGGACCAGGATTAATAATTTACCATTAAAGCCTCCCTCTGGAAGTCTCCAGACTTCAATAGACCCCACAGTTCTAAAATAGTTACATCAGACAAAACTGTCTAAGTGGAGAGATGAATTCCTGGTGCTTCCTACTCCACCACCTTCCCAGAATCTTCTTTGGTTCCTTTTTTGTATCTTCTCTCTATTTATTAACATTTTCATTTTGTTCATACATTGTTTTCTTGACTTTATCCACATCTTCCTTTAGGTCTTTGAGCATCTTTGAGTTGTTCTATAGTCTCTGTTCACTATCTGGTCATTCTCATGGCCAGTTTCTGTTGATTTATTTTTTTCCTTTGAAGGACCATACTTTCTTGTTTCTTTGAATGCCTTGTGATTTAAAATATATATATATATAGTGATATATATATAGGAATATATATATTCCTTCCAATATATATATATATAGTGATAACTCTGAAAATCTGAGTTTCTCCTTTCCCCAGAGTTTGGTGAGTTCCATTTGTGTATTGTTGTAGGGTGTCTCTGTGCCAAGGATCAGCCTGAGGTGTAAATTTAAGACCTTCTCAATTCTTTTCTGGGCATGCAAAGCAACTTTTTAAATTCCCCTGTATATATGGTAGTTTTTAAATGTTCTAATCCTTAAATGTCTGGCTCCCAAAGGGGAAAAAGGGAAAAATGAAGAGCATATAAAACAAGTTGTCTGTTTTTTTGTTTTGTTTTTTTTATCCTCACCCAAGGACATACTTAAAGAGAACGAGAGAGAGAGAGAGAGAGAGAGAGAGAGAGAGAGAGAGAGAGATTGGTTGCCTTCTGTACATGCTCCAGTGCCCCAATCAGGGTCTAACCTACAACCCAGATATATGCCCTGACTAGGAATTAAACTAGCAACCTTTTGGTTCACAGGACAATGTTCAACCAACTGAAGCACTCTGGCTAGGTAAGCTTTGTCTTATTTAAAATACCCTTAAAGCTGCTTCAACTAGTAGGGGTTGCAACAATGTTGACCCATGTCTTTGTCTGCACCTTTGTACAGATGCAGCAATCAGTGATTAGAACACAGATCTCCAATATGTGGAAGAGAAGAAAGTATTTCTTGTTTACTCTAGATGCTTCAAGCCTCTCCAGGAATGCTGGTATGGCTACCTGCCAAGGGAGTTGGGGTGGTTGGGGATAGCCACTACTGTGCTAACTGAAGAGGATACAAAATAATTGGGAGCTACTCGCCAAGCCTTCCTCTGGAAGCTGAAAGCCTTCAAATAGACTCCAAAGTTCCAAAATAGTTACAGCAGGCAGATTCTGCCAATATAATCGTTGCATAGGTGGGGAGACAGAGTTCTATCACTTCC